CCTTTAATAGTCCCCTGTATAACCCGCTATATAACCCCTGTTTAGACTATGGCTCATTTGAGATGACTCACATGAGTCTCTCTCCTTCACTCTGCCTCGCTCCCCGCCCGTTGCATGCTCCCCTCCCCACACACAAGAGTAGTAAACTTTTTTTCTGCGGATAACTATGGTACCCGCCAGACTCTCGAAGTCCGTGAGTACTATGGTACCCAATACAGAGCAAGATGATATCCCTTTGGGGTATCGTATTTTTATATAAGGAATATAACCTTACTGGGTTGAACCACTAAAAAGCCCTAGCCCACAATTTTTTGCTAGGAACCTCCGCAACAGCTGCTCTGCTGTCTGAGCAGCACCTGCCAGATCGATCGGATCATGTGACCCGGGGCTGGAGACACAGGGTTTAGGGTTTAGGGCGTGAATAGCGTCGGACGTCCAAATTTATGCGGCAAGGTACTTGTGGCCATGGTGCCAAGCTGGTGTGATGGATCCTACCTCGAGGACCGCTGCCTCTTCAGTGACACTTTTAGCTGCTTAATCATAAGCCGTTGGAACGCTGCTGACTTAAACTTCCCCTTGACTGGACCGATATGGTTCACCCAATTACAGGCAGTTTCAAAGCCAAGTTGTAAGTAGTTATTCAGCCCCAATAGCCTCAAAGTAGCACTACTACGAATACAGCTACCCTTTCTGCTGCAGCTGCCGCTGTCACCATGGCCATTGCCACAGCCACATCGCCAACTGAAACTCCTCCAGCTCCACCAGCACCCGCGCACCACCGCTGCAGCAGCCGACCCAAGCGGAGGCACCAGCACCCCCACTAGCATCGTCACCAACAACAGCCATGCCTGTCCAAAGCGATTGTGAATGCTGCGAGTATGGTAGTCCCTGCACGGGCAATGTCCGTAGAAAAAAACAGCTTCCCGTACCAACGCTCATATGACAGGGTGTTCAACAAGTAACAAGATACATGTAGAAGTAGCCCAGTTGCACTTGGACATGTTTGTATTCACGATGATGTTTGTCTGGTCAAGCTGCGGGGAGGTCGAAGGAGCTGGTATCAGCCAAAGCTAGGTTGGCACTCGCTTCATTTGCACTGGATATGCCGAATTACCCACAGTTTTATGGGTTATGGCCACTAATTAGTGGTTTATTACACTTAAGTTTATGGGCTGTACCTTCTAATCACCCAGTGGTGGCCAGGATCAGGATCAATGGTGGCTGTTTGGAATCCATCGGGGCGTTGAGTTGCACTTTGCACCTTGGCTGCTCAGCTGCCTGTCCAGTGGAGAACCTTCAAACTTAAGGTAACGCCCAACATAAAGCGAACCGTTAAGCCGCGCCTGAAAAAGCCCAAGACACTGCACACCTGGGGGATTGTCAAAATTATGGTCCCTTTTTGGGTCCCCTAAATTAGGTCCCGTATTAGGCCCCGTAGTATAGTAGGGACCCAAAAAGGGACCATAATTTTGACAATCCCCCACCTACCCCAAATTTGAGTCTTAGCTCCTTCGACCAGAAAGGTGCCGGAAGCATGCCGCATTGCAGACTCTTGGTGAAATGAGGATTTAGGGTTTAGGGTTTAGGGTTTAGAGGAGGCTCTGTCAAGTAGTATGCACCCCCTGCAGGCAGAGAGCTTCTTAGTCTTTGCATTTGTTAACCAGGAGAACGCGCGCGCAACATGTATATAGAAGCATTTTCCAGCCTGAAAGCACCAATCCCAATCTCTGTTTAACAGCTAGTAACACTATCTTCGGTACTGCCCCCACCCAGTACGAGTTAGACAGTAGGTATGTTATTGTTATCCATAGTCTAGCACCGAATATGAACCTTCTTAAAGAGTTTCATTGAGTGGGGGCAGTACCCAAGGACTATCAGACTTGGACCGTCTTTGATGAAGATGGCGGTGGCATCCTGCACCTGCAATGCCAGCTGGCTGGGCCAGCGGCAGGCAACAAGCCGTTGGGTTGCCGTTGAGAAGGGTCAATGGAAAGGGGATTTCTAAGAGTTTGGGAATCTACGGACTTTTGGAGGGACCCCTGTAGCTTATGGGGGTTAATATGGGGACGACCTAAGAATACCTAAAGTCCCCAGAGGGAAGCAGGGTTTCCAACAGCTGGAGCTTCTTGTGAGAAGCCTCAATCTTTGGCGTATAGCCCGTTTTCGTAATCAACTTTGAATGGAGGGTATCCACGAAGCCAGGCTGTACAGTCTAGGGCTTCGAGGGTTGGGGAGTGGTAAGTGTTAGGGTGTTAGGGGTTCAGAACTTTGGGTTTGAGGGTTTTGAGTTTTAGGATACACGGGTTTAAAACCCTAATCCCTAAAGCTTAAGTCCTAAACCCTATAGTCCGTAAACCCTAGCCCTAAACCCTTTAGAATCTATGGGTTTGAGGCTTTTGGGGTTTGGGGTATGAGGCACAGGGCTTCACAGCACCGGCCTGCAAGGTTTCCAGATCATGCGAGCCAGTTCACATGTAGTGTTTAGGAGGACCCCCCACCCTGTCATAGTGGTACACTAGGAATATAGTGGTATACTAGGAGTATAAGAGAACCCTACTATAATGCGTATTATCCTCCCTCGTAGGCACTATTGCAGGGTGGGGGTGGGTCCTCGTAGTCCTAATGTAACGAAGAAAATGTACAAGCGACACGAGCTAGAGTCTCAATTCCTTAAAGGGGGTTATATATATCTAGGGATGATATACAGGATATATTCGGAGTTTAGACTCTTGCTCACGTGGCAAGGCTTAGTCTAGAAGCTCCGGTTGTGGGGCACAGCCAAGACAATCTACAGAAATCCTATAGTTCCCCTTAAGTAGATAGAAATCGGGTATATGGGGATCTTATAATATACCCAAAGCCATATTCTATCTACTTAAGGGGGACTAGTTGAACTTTACAGCAACAAGGCTTTGCCAAATGAGGCTGCTGTTGCTAGCGAAGCTTTCGCCTAAAGGCTTTGTACGGGTGCAAAACCGAGCCGTGAGCTGTCACGCTCTCTGTACTGTGCTGTATGGTAGTTTCCTTCAAGAGGGGGACCCCAATATAAGCATTACAATCCTTAAGAAAAGGACCCCCAAGATGGATCCCCTAATTTTGGGAAGTCCCTATGTCTGAAAAACAGCTCAGGCTACTCAAGTTTGCTCTGACTGGTGGCCCTTCTGAGATTGTGGCAACAGCACGTGCCACGGAAGCTTCATCCGATGAAGGGCCCACTTGGCGTGCCGCACCCAGTTCCTGGTTTATGTAGGCCATATGACTGGAGAACAACATCGAAAAAATATCGAAACTGAGATAGAAACTAGGCTTACGCGGGATTGGTATTGGGGCGTGTATGGACAATTACCCATATTATGCTTCCAGGTTGTTCATATAGTTTGGGCATGGTAATTCAAGCAGACCTCTAAAGCATGTTGCTAATTTTTTGCTTTCTACAATGATGGCTTCTTCGCAGGGAATCTAGAAGAGAGGTTTTCTATGCTGGTTGGTAGAGTATTCTCGTTGCTACTATACGGTTACCATCCTCTACTGTTGCCATTCCTGCTACCCTTAACCCTACCCTCAAACCCTAAACTAAGACTAGAGTTGCCATTCTATTCCTGCTACATGCGGCCCGGCCGCCAGGTCTACATTCCTTGAAAGTAAAGTACTGCAGCGCGGCGGAGGGACTTTTGTTTGCGACCTATCCGTACCAGAATGTGTATATTGTGGTATACTACAGCATATTATGGTCCCTTATGGTATGCTCTTGTATATACTGGTCTATTATATTCTGTAACTCGCGGAGGTGTAGAAGCCAAACTTCGCGTACCAGAAGTTCGGAAGTGGAGCGCTGAGGCAGATTTACTTCCAAAACATTCTCTGCTAGACGTCGGTCTGTGGATGTGGAGATATTCCCTACATCCTAAACCCTGAGACATTGTATGGAAATCCTAGGCAGCATCCACCTGAACCTAACCTTACGCCTTGAAGCGACATCTTCCGATTCAAGCAATTGACTGCTGGAGGTGCTTCGCATGATGAACCGATGAACCCCATGCAACACAGATTTGCATCCTGTAGCAATTTAGATGAGGCAAAGCCTTTTGAGATCCTGATCACTTGAGCCCAAACCAGCAGAAACCTTTGTCAACCCCTAGCCCGAAACCCCTACACCAACAAAAATCTGGGTTAAGGGCTTGCTTAAAAAACTTGGTAACTACTTATAGCTGGGGTGATATGACCCTGCCTATACATTGGGTAGCCCATAAAAAGCCCTACAAGCTCGGCTGAAAAGCGTTATTTATGCTGCTGTAAGTCCCATCAAGCTTTACGCATGGTTCGCAGCCACGCCAAGGAAAAGATTCTACCAGCCCTAAGCCCTAAACCTCAAACCCTAAACTAAACCTTGGGTACTCCCCCACACATTGACAGTTGGATAAGATTTATATATACTATACTTATATAGAGCCCTTAATATGACTCCTGTTGTAGACTGTTATTGGGAGGGGGCAGCACCCAACCTAAAACCCTAAACCCTAAATAGTAGCTTCCATTCTCTTTTCCATTATCCCTATAGTCCCTACATAACCCCTATATAATCAATGTCCTAAACCCTAGTTCTCTGGGACCCCCAACCCGAAGCCCTATGGGCCGACCTGAAACTCACTACGTTGGATTGGGACTGCAACGAGCTCTTTAGAAAAAGAGACAGAGCCCTACAACCTGACATGGTGGTTTCATGGGGCTTCCCAAAATTAGGGGTACCGTCTTGGGGGTCCTTGTAGTAAGGATTGTAGCAATTTGAGGTCTATACTACTGGGGTCCCACATTATTTATGAACTTTTGCAGGCTACCGTATATGATTTTCCTATCTATTCCCTATTGTTGGTTCATTGCTTTTAAACTAGGCCCCGTGGATTAGGGTGATAGTCCTCTATACTAAAGCTTATGACGCATCCCTGTAGAACAACACACCTTTTCACTTTTCTCAACCCTAGACCCTCAACCCAAGATGACAGGATCCATTCCTGTACCTGCTGCAACTGGAACTGGCAGAGGTCGCGGGCGCTTCGATCCAGGTTGCTATGTCTAAACACAGTAACCACTTCCCTCTAATAATTCGGGTTTAGGGAGTTTCGGATTTAGTTAAGCCCTGCGGTCCGAATAAGAAGCATTTGCTCTAATATTAATATACGATGGTGCTGTAGAGCGGGGGTGTTCATAGGCTGGGGGATAATTAGTAGGACGAGGTGAGCACTTGCAGGTCCACGGGGCTTCGTCACTACTTCCTACTGGTCTTATAGCTTAACTTAATCCCTTCTAGCTGGACTTCTATATTGTACCGAATAGATATATGCGCACGGTTAGATAGGGTTTGCAAAGAGATTCAAAGAATGTCCGGGCTGCTGCATCCAAACGTTTTGGATGTTGTTTGCAAAGCCGCGCTGCTTCGTTTGGTGGCTTTCAAAGGCGTCCTGTGTAGGAGCGAAGCTCCTCTAAGCCCCATCAAGTTCGGAGAGCACCGAATTTGAAGATAATTGGTAATTTTCCTAAACAAGGGAACCCCAGTATAGACCCCAAAATACTATAGTCCTTACTATAGGGACCCCCAAAATGGTACCCCTAATTTTGGGAAACCCCCAATTAGTAGGTAGGGTCAGGGATGAGAGTCGGGGTTATAGGGCCTCAGGGGGACTTGGGCTTCAGGTTCAGGAGTGGGCTAACGGTTTACGATTAGGTCTTGTCTGGCTAAGTATGTTTTTTTTGAAGTTTTCTTTGCTACGCATGAACCGGCTGCTGGCGGAAAGTGTTTTTGGAATTTCATGACGAATATTATAACCTACTTACACAGATAAGACTATTGCGGGCCCGCATGAATCGCTGGTTTCTTCGAGAGATCCTTATTTTACAGCACCGGTTGTTCCAGAACACGGTGCTTGTTTCACAACCATGTGTGATTTAGGTGTGCTAATCCTGTGAATATTCGGAAACCGTACTTTCTGAATATGTGTAAACCGGTATAAAAACACACAGAAACAAAATCACCAAACAACAGCCGAAAACAAAAATGCACACACACAAAACAATATGCTTAAAATAATGTGGGACCCTCTTTAATAAGTAGGGGTCCCCCCCCCCCCAACATTAGGGCCCTCCGAAAAATAGAAATAGGGATCCTAAATTACGGCCCCCTGTGCTCCCACGGTTCTGAGGTCCCTGTGGATTGACTAAAAAGGGATTGTTGATAACCCTTCCTATATTTTAGGGCACCAAAATCAAACACAATATAGGGGGCCTTGCAATCATTGCCCTGATCCTGAATATGCAGGCCCCAAGACTCATTAAAGGGGACCCTTTCAACAAAGGAGGTCCAACATTACGGAGGTCAAGCCGAAAAACCAACAATACAATCCCGTAGTCCGGGGACTCCGGAAATATTGTACCTCTTTTTTTTGTTGCATGTGTGTGTTTGCTGTTTGTTGTTTTTGTTTCTTGGCTTATAATTGTACTGTACTTGTAACCCAGCTAGAGGCCCCCGAAGTGCTTAGTTTGGTGATGAATGCGATGATTGGGTTTATAAGTACAAGTTGGGTGCTTAAGGTGTAAGGGCTTGATTTTAACAGCTGTATCTGTATAATGTTTACACGGGAAATCCATTATACATCGTATAATATGACCCATATTATAGACTGTTAACCTAAACTACAAGTATGATTGCACGGGAATTTCCCACGAGAAGGGGGAGACGCCTGCAAACTCTTTAAGCACAGGTCCTGGACCAGTGTACTATTTCCGCTCGCTTGGACCCAACTAGCACCAGGGTAACGTTTATGTGGGCATTGCCAACAACATGCCCCACTGCCTGCCATACGAGAGTCCGACTTGTAGGCCTCCAAACGCGGCACCACAATGTTGGCCTTTATGCATAAACCCTGAACGCTAATTTTGGCCTTAAACCCAAAACCCTAAACCCTTGAACCGCGTCAAATGAAGTGTCTCAGGTTGAGCATGTGAAGATTGGCTTTCGCAACTCGTCTGTCGAAGACCTGCTTTCAACTGCTGCAGAAGGAGCACACAAGGTTTGATTTTTAGTGGTATTATGATTATAGTCGTTATCTAGTAGTGTAGTAGGGGGGAGGGAGGAGGCGAAGCACCTGCGTTCGCCCCCCCCTCCCCCCCCACCTGCTGGCAGTCAACAAAAATGTAATTGAAGTTGCATCATACCCCTGGAGAATCTCCTGTTTTCATAATTCTTGGCGGGCGGGAAAACCCGAAGTAGGAGATTCACCGTGCTTGGCTTTTTTTTTATGGCAGAAAGGTACAGTGGCCATCGTGGATGGACAGCTGTGCGTGAACGGCCGCCCAATTGTGGTTGCAGGGGCTAATGTGCACGAGATGCACCCACGTCGAGGCAAGGCGATCAACGAAGAAGATATGCTGAAGGACATTGAGATGCTGAGCCTCAGTTGCATGTGACCCCTAGCAGGGAAACTGAACAACTTGCAGTAGGGATAGGAACAGGGGTGCCACTATGAATTCCTGTGTTGCATATTCAAGTTCTGAATTAGCCAATAGACCCGCGACTAAACACGATACAGCATCAGGTCTCTGCACGTAGCGTCCTAACTGTCGCACGCACTGAAAATGTTTCACCCTAGGGCTCCAGTTAATGGTTTCTGGGTTCTATATACCCTATAGTTACGTAGTCCAGCCAACCCTAAACCCTAAAACCCCACTTAACAGTTGGAGAAAATTCATCATCTTATGGTTAATTATGCATAGAGCCCGTGATATGAACCCGATTATACCTCTGACCCTTAGTGCCTAAGTCTGCGACCAGAAGATAGGATTTTGTTTTTATGGGGTTGAGAGGTTAGGTAGGCTTTTCGAGTGTTTCATAGGGCCTTAGAGGGTTCATGGGGCTTCGGGTGGATCTTAACCCCAACCTCCCAGATGGCCGCACGCTTTTATTGCCTGTGCGGCACGCCGTTCAAACATGTGGGGGCTGAAGGGCAAGCACCAAGCCGCACCAACGAGCGTTGCTGATACCTTGAGGAACCCCTTCGTTTGCAACCATGTTCGGCTTTTGTGGCGTCTGCGAATAGGCTTCCATGGGGCGATTCGGAGAACATATTGCTGGACTGCGAGTAGGTACCTTTGGTAATGTACAGCTAGCAATTTGGTAGAGCATATCTGGATGGGACCGGCAGCTGGGGAGACCTGGTAGCCAAGGAAGCTTGGAAATTTCAACGCAGTGAGAAACAGCCATTATCCTCACCATCCCAGATGGTACGAGCTGTGTGACGAGCACGGACTGTACATGGTGGATGAAGCAAACATTGAAACACACGGCTTCGTGGAGAATGGCGCTATATCTTTGCTGGCTTGCGATCAGGCGGTCCCGGTTTCCGGAAACAGTGAGACGTGTAGTCGCAGCAGAGACCTATTCGAACGAATGATGGGAGTTGAATAGTTGAATTGCAATAGTAATAGGGTAATAGGGTTCTAAACGGCTCGCAGCGGCGAGCATGGCCAAACCGCGTTAGGAATGATGTATGTGTTGCTTAATTTTCGGCCAGGTTTGGCGAGAGCAGTTCCTTCATCGCTTCTTCAACATGTTCCAGCGCGCGAAGAACCACAGCTGTGTGATTGTATGGTCACTGGGAAACGAGAGCGGCTGGGGTCCGAATTTCGCCATGGGCGCGGAGTCATTGCACCGCTGGGATCCCCAGCAGCGACCAGTCCAGTACCTACGAACCCCAGTGGTACCCTTTTACCCTTTTTGGGTTCTGGGTTCCCATATATAATATACCAACAGAAAANNAAAAAGGGTACCCTTATTGTAACATGGTTACTGGGCTACCAAGGTACGAAGGGGCAACCTGTTTGGATGATGCGGTCATGCTCTTTGGAGACGGTCAAGGCGCAGTGGGAACTGTAGCAGCTATGGTCACTTAATCCCTATAAACCCCTACATAATCCCAGTTTCCATTTCATTTTCCATTTTCTTTTCCATTTGATTCTCCATTATTGAGGGCAATATAACCCTAATATAACCCCTAGTGTATTTAAAACCCTGCAACCTCAACGTTTTCTTTTAACGCTATCAACCTTACAAGCCTCCCTGCTGCCGGTATCCTGTCTGGTCCAGTCCTCCGGTCCCCTTTCTCACTTTGGCAAGCCAATGATGAAAATGTCCATCGCCACTGGCCCCCAACCACTGGCACCGCAAGCGCCGGCGCTGCAATCAGCAGGACCAGTACCACATCGCCGCAGCCGCTGTTATTCATGCTGTATCGTCATTGCGTGAAGGTGATTTGCATTTGCTCTTTGCAGATGCCTCATTTTGCCGGGGCTTTGCGATGTCCAGCCCTGAACAGGTGCAGGGAGCGACATCATATGCCCGATGCCCCTTGGCCAAGTCAGCGTATTAGGACACCTCTCATGCTCCGCGCTTTGTTCGATAATGGACGTTTGCCACCGTGCAGCTGCTAAGGTATTGGTCACCACCGATGATACTACCTCTGGCAGCCAGTAGGACGCGCCCTGCACATTGGTTGCAGTTTCCCTGATGCTGTGTGTTGCACGCTTTGAAATCATGATACCTAGCTGGTGGGGATCGTCAGCAAATGGCTAGACGAGTGTTCGTCCTCACGTCCAATGCAAAATACCGCCTTATATAGGAAGGTGCAACGTTATGGATGATTTCAGGATATTACCCCAATAGTCTAGCGTCACATGGAGAAACAATGGGACCCAAATTGGGAATGAAAGGAACACCGAGCTTACGTCTTTCGAAGCCCGTAAGTAAGGGCAGGACCTAAATCCATGGCATTGTTTCTATTCCCTGGGAAGCGATAGCGGGAAAACAAAATGCAAAGCTTTGATGCTGGTCACACCCGAACGGTATGTATATGACCCTAAGGGTCCAAGGACCCAAATAATAGGATAGTAGGGCCCAAATACCAGTAACATTATAGTATTTGGGCCCTGAAACCCTATTATTTGGGTCCTTGGACCCTTAGGGTGAGGCTGATCGTAGCCATGTTGGGGCAACTGGAGGGGGTTCAAAACCATACGGTGAGCGCTAAAGTTGGTTCACTATCCTCTGGGACTATAGGGATAATGAAAAAGAAAATGAGAACTACTACATTGTAACATACTTATAGGAATTATATAGGGACAATGGAAAATGATGGAAACTACTGTGCAAGGGATTGGCCTCTTCCCTGTTCGGTCAGGTACTGAACAACGCAGGAAGCTAGCGGTAGTGAGCTCCGTCTTCCTCTTCGGTATATGGTCCCCCTTAAGTAGATAGAGTATGGCTTTGGGGATGCTATAATAAGATCCCCATATACCCCATATTCTATCTACTTAAGGGGGATTAAGGGGGGCTAGACATTTTCCTTGTACTACTCTGAACTTTGGTTGGCCGTGTTTCTCTAAAAATCGTGAAAAATTGGCATAATAGACAATGTCTATATGAGAATGTACCTCCGGGATGGAGGATTGAACTAAGGGCTTTGCGCAACCCAGCTTGGAACCTCAACAGTTGCCTTTTGTGACATGTCTTCCCAAAACTAATGGGTTTAGGGTTTAGGGTATAGGAATGCTTCTTGATCCTTCTGATTTCCTACATCCATGGTCAAGGTCATACTCTGCGAGTACAGCCACGCGCTTGGCAATTCCAACGGGTCTCTGCACTCCTACTGGGAGCTGATCTGGTCTTCAGCGCCCGACGCTTGGATAACCATGAAGATCAAAGCTAGCACTGCTAGTCGGAAGAGGAAGGCCAAACACACAAAATTTGGCCGTGAGCGTGATTCGTAAGCCTTGATCTCGATTTACACAATGCGCCTCTGGTACCATGGCAGAAACCCTGCTTACGCGATGAAATAGCAAGTGATAACGCCATCCTCCAGGCCCAAATTTGCCAACCATCAGACAGGGAGGCTTTGAGATCTCCCCAGACTTGCCTGCTTGACGTTTGCGAATTTCAGAGGTTGCCCTCGAAAATGAAACCCCGAATGATTTGAAATCCGCATAGATACTCTCCTAGGCAGATCTCCCATCCCCTTGAGAATTGCTTCAAATTTTGGTTGTTGTATATCAAAGGTTTCGGGCTTGTACTCCTAGGGTTGTACACCTAGGGTTGTACCCCTGGGCTCAGGGATCCTTATTTCAAGGGAACCGTAGGGCACTAACTTGAAGCATATAAGGTTAATGTTAAGGCCATGCTGGGGAAAGCTTTTAGGGGTACAACCCTAGGGGTACAACCCTGCAACGCTCGACGATAACCCAAACGAACTATTAAGAATACCAGTTTTATTACAGGTTTACGGGGGCTGAATAAATGGGGAAGGCCTGGCTTCCGCCAGGCCCAGGCTTCAGAAATTTGAGGGAATGGCAGTACTGTAGAAGCCTGAATAACTTAGAAAACCTTCCCTCCAGAATCCTGATATGAGCTATAGTCTAAAATCCCAGTATCCCCTTCAAAAAGCTCTACAATGCTCCTCTATATAATCCCCTGTATAACACCCCTTAAGGAGTTTAGACTATAGCTCATATAGTGAGATTTAATTTGTTAGGCTCCTACAGTACGGATGGACCAAGCTTTCCTCTACATAGCTACGCAAGAAGTGCCAAGGAACACCGGTGCATACAAGGAGGATTTGTTTGGGAGTGGGCTGACGGAGCTGTCAAGGCCGGCTTATTGCCATTCTTCGCACTGGCAGCTAGCAGTACTACTTGCAGCGTCAGTAGCAGTAGGAGGACCAGTAGTAGTAGGCACAATTCTTCCAACCTCTTATCGTGTATTGCATTGTTGCATAGCTAGTGCTATGCTACTGCTGTTAAATCACCCTACTTGGCGCGCTCATGTAGCTTTCGGTTTTTCATCGGCATTAGTCTACTCGGCTGGCTCTAAGCTTAGTTTAGGCTTCCAAGTTGGAACCCCCAGAATTCTAAGGCTTTGACAGCACTTGGGTTGCTACAGGTCACCGGAAAAATTTGCATCTATTCCTTGTCAGTCGGGACTTTCACAGGTACAAAAGAAGGGCTTGATCTTGACCGTGGGTCCTACTGTACATCTCCCGCAAAAGCAGAAACTTGGACTCCAATTTGAGGGCCTCGGGCAGACCTACTACGTGCTACTCCAGAAAAAAAAACATAACGATTGCTGCTATCTACGGATGTTGTTACCAATTCTCTCTCATTCTCTCCTCTCTCTCTCTCTCTCTCCCCCCTACCAGGTCCACAAGGCTGAGATCCGCGACCCTGACGCGCCTCCGGCAGTTTCAGCAGTTATCAGATATGATTTTTTCCGGGGGTATCACATTTCGGATCCTTGTAAGGGAGATGATACAAGTTACGATCTGGGGGGCAAAGAGAAAGAGGCCCTAATGCTGATTAGTTTAAGCAAAAACTATTTCTGACGCTAGCAGCCCCACAACACAGGATCCTTAAGGGATCCAGAGATTTGCGGCATCCCAAACCCCGATCATCCCTCTCTTAGCCTTCCATGTCCCGCTTCATGCCTAGCAACCTCGCAATCAGCGCGTGCCAAGTGAAGCAATGATGGTAACAGGAGCAAACGTACCACGAGCACCCCCTGCGACAAAGACCTTGTTATTGAACGTATGGCTCTTCCCAGAGTGTTTTCTAATATACCTATAGCCCCTGCTGGATTGCTGTCATGGAGCTTCAGCTAACTGGTATGCACAAGGAAGCCATGCTATTTGGGGACCACCCCCCAGCAACAGTGAGTATGACAGAGAAGGAGGATCATATTCAGGTCCTCTTATATTCCTACTATACCACTATTACAGGGTTGGGGGGGGGGTCCTCCTAAACCCTAAGAACCTTAAATGCTGAGCCCTAAACCCTCAATCCCCCTAGCAAACCTCCGAGGTAAAGGGAAAACGTGATCGGGAAGCCTGGCTAGAAGGCCCGGAGCTTCAAATATTCTCTGACCATGAAGCATTACAGGGGTTGTTCTCAAAATCACGGGCCCCTTTAGGGTTTAGGGGTTGTTCTCAAATTTATGACTATGAAGCATAACCAGCACGTTAAACTGGGTTGCTGTCAAGGAACTTGGGACTGAGTTACCATCATGGGCTTATATAGAAATGAATATGGTTTCCCAAATATAGTAACTTAAAGTGAGTTCCGTAACAGCAACCCAGCAAACATGATGTAGGTTTGGAAAGGAGCAGTAGCGAGAGCAGTAGTGGCGGCGGCGGTGGCAGTGGCGGCCATGTACTTAGAAAGAGAAAGCAAAATAAGTTGGACACTGGGATAATACAGGAAATAACGGATCTTGGTAGGGCTGCTGGATGATTTGCGACACAAGTGCGTCTGGATCAGAAGCGCTCAATGTAAGCAGAGGAGCTAAGATGGATGTTCCAATTCCAATCGAATCGGAATCGCATGGTAGCAACCGGATTAGGAAGCGTAGTCATCGTAAGCAAAGTCTGATATTCAGGACCGTAAACCAGAAGAACATTCAATGTCTTTCCCCCTTGGGGAGCCGTCAGGAGCTGGTTGAACCTGGTTTATTGTTTACTTCCAGGTTCATGCGTTTTAGTCATTACTTATAAAGCTGCGAATCGGAATGCCGGGTTTGCAACAGAGCTGTGCGGCCACTTCGGGACATAGACTTGTGACAGAATTTCCTGACTGGGACAAGAACCTTCGAATCTTTGTTTTGTGGGGCACGCCTGTACCAAGCTTTTATGTAACAACAGTTTTCAACAAAGGTGTATGTAAGAAGGGTGGGAGAGGGGGGAACGACGAGACAGGTTTCTGATAGGGCTTGTAACCCTTCCTCTAATTGGCGTAACCCATTCAGAGGGATTAAAACCCAGCATTTAAGCCCAGCTGTAAGTAGTTGCGAAGTCCTATGAACCTTTAAGCAGAGCTTGGAGACTCAGATTCCGCCCATGATCAATTCTAATCCCACAGTAACTAACACGAGGCCTCCCAGTGAGGAGATTCAATTTCCTTGCTCCTGAAATGGTAGGCACTATAGGCGCTTCAATTTCGGGGCACACTTTATGCAAATTTGAGTCAACACGGGAAGTCTGACTCCACCTTTGTAAGGCTGGGTTGCTGTTGAGAAACTTATTTTAAGTTACATTATTTGGGAAATCATATGAAATTACTACATCTACCCATTCTGGTCGCTTAAATTGAGTTCCTTAACAGCAACCCAGGGATCTGCCAGGGAGCGGACATCCCAACATAGCGTTGCCGGGTAGGTTTGGCAAAAGCATTTTATGGACGCATGGCCTAATCTTGTGCTGTGCAAAGAAGCCATTCCTGCCCCAAAGCGGGAGAGAGAAGCAAAGAAGACTGGCCCTGCAGGTGAATATGGTTATGGCGGAGACTTTGGGAAGGTTTCTGGGCCAGATTTTTGTTCCGGCGTTGTCCTAGGACACCAAGCATCTTGAGTTGAACTTATGAACGAGTTCCGAAGAACAGTACAGGCTAGCGGGCGCCAAGATCGCAACTTCATCGTGGATGGGATCCTGTTCCCCGATCGCACGCCTCATCCCGCCTACGAGGTTGCTTCTGGCCCACTGAAGCCCCCTCAATTTACTATTATTACTGTTCTTAGTATTATGACTTTTTTGAGTATTCGCTATTACTACTATTATTATTACCATTATTTATGTACTTACGTAACTGCTGCAGCAGTAGAAATCAGAGTCAACATGAAAACGTGTGTGTCATGATTTTCCCCTGCAGCCTCACACCTAGGCTTGGAAGGTCTTAGTCAAACTGCCCTCACATGAGCTATAGTCTAAACTCCTTAAAGAGGGTCATATAGGGGATTATATAGGGGACTGCTTTAGGGCTTACTAAGGGGGACACTAGGAGTCTAGACTATGCCTCAAATGACCTCTCAGCAGACCACCCTCCGCAGAGCGGGCATCGCAGATCTGGTTGTGTTGGTGCCTTTTCGGCCATCCCTAGATAGCCCTTGTTACAGAGACCCCAAAAAGGGCCCCGTGATTCTTGCAAGCTCCCCCAACTGGACTTAAAAGTTTACCCCAGTTGGAAATAGGGGTATAAGCCCAATTACAAGTAGTTACTCAGTCCCATGAACTTCCAAGTAATTGCAGCCACCATCCGGTAGGACTTCAAGACCCGGGTACATTATACTAGAATCCTTCTTATGGTGAATCCCATCGAGGGACCACTAATTATTGGAAACTCTGAACAACTCTAATCCCGATAATCCCTGATATAGCCACAGTTTTCATATCATTGTCCATTTTCTTTTTTCACTTGATTCCACATTCTTGGGCAACATCTCCCTACATAAACCCTATATATCGCCGACCGCGTAGCCCCCATTTTCTTTTCCATTATCCCTACATCATGGGAAGCTCTATTTTGGAAGCCGCCACTTGGCAGGACTTCAAGAGGCTGCAGCAGCCATTGGAGTTCCACCTGGTCAAGACCACTGAGGCGTCTGTAGGGTTTGGGGTTTAGGATTTTTCTGATGGGTCGTAGGGTGTTGTATGGGAATATATGGGCACCGAAGAGGATGTGGAAGGATGTAGAGGGATATGGAGAATTTGGAATTTCCAAAAAAGTGGAGGTCCTTCATTCTTTTAGGGGGACTTGCAATTAAGGGTCCTAGTCCTTTTGGCGACATAGAAGTTGGATCTATTTTTGGAAGCTTCTAACTTGCTAAGTAGATGACTTTGAATAATCGGCACCTAAACCCCAAAACCTAAAACCCTAAACCCTGACGGTAGTCGCTGTCGATCCCGCCATAATGCCCTTACAATTCCCAAGTTCAGGGTTTAGGGCCTTTCAATCCCCCTGGGTTGTATTTGAAGCCCCTTAGTCCTAGCACAAGCTTCAAGTTTCAAAAGGCGTCCGCTTAGGTAGCCGAAATTCCTACAATCCTTGTATACCATATGGACCCCAAAGAGGGACCCCGAATGCTTGGAAACCCTGATCTCAATAAACCACTACCTGAGTCAGATTCCATGTCATTGTCCATTTCATTTTCCATTGCCTTTTCCATTTGATTCTGCATCATTGCGGTACTATCTCTAAATAAGAAAACCTGTATAACCCTAAACCCTGTATAACCCTAAATCATAAACCCTAAACCCTGATAAATGACGGACGGCCCTGGAGTCAAAGGAGAGCACTGAATGCCAAGTTGCCAAGGTAAGAGTTCGAGCCTCAGAAAGCTTCGTTGTGTACTGTTCCCTAACCACTTGGACATAATTTTTACTTTTTGCTTATTATAATCCTAAGGAACAGCAAAAATTAATTTTGACTAGGGTTGCAAGTTCTCCATAAGTTCAGGGTTAAGGACTCAGGGTTTAGTTGGGGTTTAGGGTTCGCCCGACGCCTAGGGTCCTCCCAGATCCCAGATCTCATCGACCGCATCAAGTTTTGCTCGGCTTGGAAGTTTGGGGGGTCGGGGTGGGGGGCGGATGATTGCGGTCTCTTCAGCTGCAGGCGTCTTAAGCTGTAAAACGCAGTATTTCGGGAACCCTCCTGCAAAAACGCCGCATTCATGTTTGAGAGCATCCAATTACCAAAGCATCGATGCCCAAGCCATAATGACGTTCATGTCCCAGAGTATCCCATTACCAGAACATCCATGCCCAAACTATAATCACGTTCATGTTCGCGAGCATCCCATTACCAGACCATCCATGTCCAAGCCATAATAACGTTCGTATTGCAAGTGCATCCAAGTACCAGAAACACTGCTCCCTGTGGGACGAAGTCTATGTCCTTTGTGGGAGCCCTGATGCAAAAACACCGCGCGTAGAGGGACAAGATGCATGTCATATACAGCTTCTGATCGCGCGAACACAGAAATAGCCCTCACTATCAGTGCTGTGTTCCGCTTGCTACACCCTTTTCGACCTGCAACACGCAGTACTTTTGAACAGGGTCTCACACACCTGCGCACTTTCTGAGCGTGCAACATAACACTTCTCATTCGCTCTCATTCGCAATGTGCCAAAATCACGCGTTTTTGCACATTTTGATTCCTAACACGTGCAACATTCTCATCTTCAAACAAGGTTGCGCGCGGAATTTTAGAAGAAAAGTCCGCGTAGTTATCGCCCTCCATTCCTTGAACACATTCACCCCTGCAAGCAAAATACATTGCAAAACGCAGTAGTTTCTGGACCATTCACACATAAAGCCCGCATGGATCTTCCGGAGAACCGCTTCCGTTGCGCGTTAGGGTTAAAGGGTATGCAGGGGTTACAGAGGGATGAATAACTCCAATTCTGGAAAGGGAAAGGGAGAATGAAATGGAAATTGGGATGAAATAGTGGTGTATGGAGGTCTACACGGCTTCCCTTGAAAAAGTAAGTCTACGTAATGAAAGGGGTCAGGGGGCCAGGGCGCAGTATAACAGATGTTGTTCGGGATGGCAAGTACGCTTACGAAGTCAAAAGATGATCCAAGTAGGGCTTCAGGAATAGCTTAGAATCTGATGCTTTTGGGAGGGTGGGGGAGTACCCTAGACCCTACTTGGATGGTCGGGGTGACTCATTAAGCAGGTTAAAAGCTCTATAACTCATATAGTAACCTTAGTAATCCCCCTCAGTAACCTATTTACCAAGTCCCCTGGCCCTCCAAGTAAACCATAAACCGCTTCAATAACAAGCCTTCGTATAGCTTTCCATAGTAGGTCCTGTATTCGATCTCCAGGTCCTTGCGTTCTGCAGCATCGGGGGTCTACAAGTACTACTACTGCTACTATTACAGATTGTTACTACGATTATCCTTGTTATTATGACTGCTATTATTACTGCTACTACTACTACTATTACTATTACTATTACCATTACTATTACTCTTTTTTGTCTTACTAGGATTTGGGTTCTCAGCTCTGGGGCAAGGGGATGCTCATTTCCTTCCCCCAAACTGGAACCCTACGTAGCGTAGCCACCTTTCGTAAGGATGGCTGTTTTTGCGGGACGCTTTTAATAAGAAGGTTTTAGTTACCGCAAACCCTAAGTTTGGGGCCCTTTTGCAGTCGTATGTCAGCTTTAGGGCTCTTGTAGGTGATGGGGTAACTAGCAGGTATCACTACAAGTTGTTGCTACCATGACCTTCTCCCACTAAGACAGAGTCCAGATGGGGTATGTTCAGACCCGCCAAATTCGAGCAACAATGCCTTCACACCGTTACTCGTAGACATGTTTGCAACTGCGGCATCTGTAGTAATCGCTAAGGTCCGAAACAGATACGCTTTCAAGGACTTGGGACACTTGTCCTTTGTGGCGTTGCCCAGACGCATTCTGAACCGGAGGGGCTAGCGTCTGTCTCTGTCGGTCTGTGCAGCGCAAGTCAAGCTGGAGTATGCTGGAGTATTGTTGAGGCTTGTCTTTGATGCGTGTGGAGAGAAGCAACAGTGCACCATCCGCGGAAATGTGGACATGCGAGATGTGTGCCCAGGTGGGGCGTGCAATGAGCATGTTAAAACGCAAACTGATTGCAGACTCGACTCAACATGATGCAGGCGAAGCCCGCGAAGTAGATATTGCCATGGAGATGGCACCTCCTCAGCTTAGACAACATGGTCAGTGGTTAGTCATCCAAGCCTACCAGACGGAGAGATCGCAGCTGGTTCCTGAGAAGCTGCTTTTCTGCACCTGAGGTTTGCACGGGCATTGTATAAGGCTGTTTTGAGAAGCTCCCAAATCGTGCAGATGCTGTCTATTTAGCCGACAACGCTGTCAGGCACATCATCGCTGAAGGTTGCTTCACAATTTGCCCGCCACGAACTGCATCTGACAAGGACCGTGACAGTGTGGTGTGCACAGGCCGCGGCTTTTGCAAACATGGCTGTTCGCGCACCAGAATGAAAGCAGGGCATCATTTTGGCAATTCAACAAACGTGCTTTTGAGGGAAAAACCCAGAAAGCTGCCGGGTACTTTCCCGATCCTGTCATTTCCGGCAGCTCAAATCCTATAAACCCCTGTAAACCTACAATCCCAATAGAAAACCCTATAGAACCCCAACCCTAAAGCCTACAGCCTACGATCCCCATCTGAAACCCTATATAACCCCAACCCTAAACCCTAAAACCTAAGATCCGCATATCAAGACCTATATAACCCCTATTTGAGCGCAGTCTTCCACTACAGTTCGAGACGGTTCCAATGGCAATATGTATCAGTAAAAGAGGGGAAGCGGTTATGGTTGGGGGTGTTAGGGTTTAGGCTTCGAAAAATTGGGAGCATCTGGGGAGTTCCTATAACGAGGAAAACAGTTGTGGTCTTTTTTGGGGGCCATGCATGTGGAATCCCCCCCCAAGTAAAGTATCACTAAAATCCCTAAACCCTAAACCCTAAACCCTAAAACCTAAACCCTAAACCCTAAACCGTGCTAAAAATGACAGCTGCCGGCCAGCTGCTCTTCCCCCTAGCCTACGTCATGGTCTGTCATTGTAGTTGATAACAAACACAATATGAACCATAGTCTGGGTAGGCCCCTGGGATATTTAATATTTTTCCTAATGGCTTTAATAAGGGGCCCTATATACTAATGTTTTTCAAAGGGTTTTAGGGGCCAACCCAGTAGTCTGAACTCCTAAGTAGTCCCCTTCATATCCCTTGTAGTAGTCCCCTATATAATCCCTTATATATCCCCCTTGCAGGAGTTTAGAC